CTTGCTGGTGTTAGAAGCAAAAATATTGTAAACATTGCTGAGCACTCAAGTGACGACGTCACTCTACCATAACATTCCATACTGCGAACAGTGAGATCTACGTCACTGCCAACAGCTGTTTCGTGAAAAAAGATAAACATAGCAATGAAATACGAACACCACTAAACATTTGCACATTATTTCACTACCACTAATAAGCCTGTTGGCCCGGACCTTATATAAATAACATTGCTACTCAGTGACTTGGTGTATGATTCACTCAAAAATATTATTAAACGAAGATACCTAGATTAAAATTTATTCATTGAATGGTTAAACCCAGAGACGATGCTTAATAAGAGACGCGCGAATACTGAAGCCAAAAGTTCCAATCGAATCTTCAAACGCGGTTCCAATCAAGCACACAGCAAAAAAGTTGTTGAATATTACATCGAAACTTCTGCAACCAGGTCAATCCATCGGTTGTGTAATATCCAAGGGGGGGAGGTGGCTGTCAAATACGAACAATCGTCGCCTACCTCTCATGCCTCGCATAACTGGTTCCAAAGGTAAACAAGCCATAAGAAACCTACAGCGATTGTTTACGTTTGGAGCCAGTTTCATACAAGAATGATCAGAAGGCTGATTTGACAGCACGTCCCCCCCCCCAGGTAATATCACATTGTACGATGAACATCGATTTTGCGAACAAAATTACATCCATTGATGTAATATTGTATCTGCTTTTTGCTATTACATCATTATTTCATACATCAGCTTGAATTACGTTGATCGATATTACATTTTTTTTGCTGTGCAATGTAAATAAACACGAGCGCTTCACGAGGAAAAGCTTAAGGAGTATTGAGATGGCGGCTGAAATTTAATTTTTAAGTTTTAAATAATTATAATTATGTTTTCCCAATAAAAAATACCATAAACGAATGACAATCCAAATTATTGAAATTATTGTTTGAATGATACCCGAAACACGTCGTTAGGCAACATAGGCATAACAATTTCATTATGGTTGCGTATGAAAAAAACAATTGGATACTATTTGACTATTGGAATACAAATAAAACACAAGCAAAATATTTTGAGATTTTTACATTAATGCCAAAAAGCAATTTTTGACGTAGGACTACGTCTTTGATTTCTATATGGGGGTACACTTTGTGAAAACCGAAAATGGAACATGTAACAAATTAAGAAAGATTTTGAACGTTAATAACTCAGCTGCCTCTGGTCCAATTTCAATAATTTTATCGCCAATCGATCAGAAATATGGCTACGCATCGATATCAATGCTTTCGAATGTTGGTTTTCAACAAAAAAAAACTATTGAAAAACTGGTAATTGTCCAGCATTGTCCAAAAGCGTCGAATTAACTAACAAAACCACCAATTACCTACATGCATATGCTGCTTCCCCAGCACAGTCGTCATAGAGTAGTAAGTAGACGAAACAAGTTAAAGTGGCATTCGCCTTCGATCCTCGGGTGCGTGCGAATTGGCAAATCAAAGTTGGCACTCGTGGAGAATAGAAGAACCATGAAAGTGATGATGGTTTCAAAATTTTCCACGGGGAAGTATACGAGTGCAATCTTAAAATGCTTTTATTTTGCAAATGGAACATTTTATTTAAATCTGGTTGCTGCTACAGTGGTAGAAAAGCTCAAATCTATGTGTACACCTAAAAATCTGAAAAGAAATTAATTTTTCTATATTATTTGTCTATTGAGTAGTCCTTAAGTTTTCTACTAACATAGCACCAACCAGATTTAAATAAAATGCTCCATTTGCAAAATAAAAGCATTTTAAGATTGCACTCGTATACCTCACGGTGTAAAATTTTGAAACCATCATCACTCTCATAGTTCTTCTATTCTCCACGAGTACCAACTTTGATTTGCCAATAGGAAGGATGGAATTGCGCAATACATGGTAATACTTTGCACACTCATCACCATATACTGGTGCATCGCCACTAATGCGAACGCGCAGTTAGCTACCTGTTATACAGACAACCAGTTCTGCCGGTACCATATTTTCTCACTTCTCATTGGTTACTGTGTATAGCTAATAGGAAGCGAGAAAATATGGTACCGGCAGAGCTGGTTGTCTATATAACAGGTAGCTAACTGCGCCTTCGCATTAGTTGCGATTCATCCGTTCAATTGTAAACATCGGTCTCGGTGTCATTATGTGATAACATCCAGGGCCTGCCATTGGTCGTCTGGCTCGACGTGGTGGTGTCAAGCTCATCTCCGGTCTGATGTACGAGGAAACCCGAGGTGTGCCGAGAAAATGTGATCCGTGATGCCGTCACTGAATACGCAGCTTGCCTACACGTCATCATCATCTTCCAAAGGCTTTTAGGGGCCACCAACATTTTCCAAAAGAGTTAATTTTCTGAACATGTCCCAACTAAAATTCATATCAAAAGGTTCTTTTCAGGGCAGCCATACTCATACTAAAGAGTATAAACAGAGAGAACCACGCTAAAATTCCTATTCCTACACAAAATACAAGCTCCTGCTGCAGTTAACAAAAATATTTATTATATCATACCACGTAGTCCTACGTCATCATTGCGTACAACCGTACAACCCCATTGGGCTGTCCCTTGTAGTTTTTTTTTTTTTAAATTACCAAGCCGCTGATCGACTGTCAAGTTTTTAATCATAAGTGAATTTGGTGAAAGACTGAGGGACTTCTCGATTACTTTTTAAATGGACGAATCTGCTTTAGTAAACAATGCATTTGATCGTCGGTCGGCGTAACTGGTAGCTCACCCATACTAACACCACTATCAGGTAGTGATGGTAGTGTTAGCATGCGTGGGCGAGCTACCAGTTAAGCCAAATCGACGAGCAAATGCATTGTTTACAAAAGCAGATACGTCTCTTCGAAAAATAATCGAGATTTCATTCATACAGGGTGGGAAGCATGAACCGCAGATTGCATAATTTTGAGCAACGCTCTGTAAAATATCCGGTGCAATATGATTCTTTTGACTTCACTGTGTTGTCAAAAATTGATTATTCAAATACTTCGTTTGAATATCGATACTACCGAAAGAATCAAAAAAGTATTCGCTCAAATTAAGAGTCACTCGAAGTAGACACAAAATTGTGGGCTGCCAAACCTGGCAGACAAAATAACTTAGATAGCCGTGCAACCAGATTTACTTTTATTCTCTCCGCGCGTCTCTTATAAAACATCGTCTCTGGATGTATCATGTTTTCTTTCTCGATTCTAAAACTTCTCGGAAAGCGAGAAAACCACCACAAGTATAACCGTCCGGGAGGCAGAGTGCCAGCGCTAATCCGGAAAATGCAGCCGAAAACTATGAAAGCAAACGCACCCACAAAACAGAGAGCAAACTTTAAACACCACCGTATCCGAAGGGGTTCGAAACTGCACTAAATTGGATCTCATTTGGACTCTTTAGAAACTAACAGAATCAGTGAATTATTATTCTTGCTGAAAAATAATTCCATATTTTATGGCTATGCAATAATTAGATACCAAGTGTGCACCTGAAAAAAAATATACGGACCGTGAACTAAAAATCACGACCAACTATCACGAATATGGGAACTCTTTTTTTTTTCAAGTGCAATATTAGAATGTTAAGGCAAATGATGCGTGCAACAATTGGGATTTGAGGAACATTCAAATGATTCTTGAGGATTTCCTACTTCAAAAACAATTGACCACTTTGTCAAGCAGTTTTGGCGTGACTTTCTACCACCGATTTCACAAAACTGGACCAACTAATTTCTATTTTTTTTATGAAACGCACAAATTATGGCTACTTTTCTCGAGGTTCAAGAAGAAAAAATCTCAAAATAATGTTTTATTTCAAGGTCGAGTGGTAGTAAACGTCATTTCAACAGCTCGAATAAAGTGGTTAATTGGCAAATTACCCTAATGCTTATTTATATCTATATTTTTTCACTCTTGTGAATCACTGATTTCACTGCTTCAAAACATGATTTCATATGATACAATCATATTGATAAAAGTAAAAATGCAAAATTGCAGTGTTTAAGTAGAAAATGTTTCAAATATGTGGTGCTCATGTTGCCTCGAAAGCACTTACGTAATATTTTGTTGAGAAAAACTTTAATGTTTATTGAAAACTAGAAGAACAAAAAAAAAACATTGTGTCATATAAGAAACCAATGACCATTTATTTAGCTGCTAAAGGAGTAGTTGTTTATTTGTTATGTTTGCACCAACAGACTAGAAATAGTCAAAATGATGTGTTGTAAAAAAACCATAAGTGATTAGAAACTACTTTTCCTTTATTTAACGTCGGTCTCTGTTCCGCAATCTAGTGCCAATCACCGACGAACATCGATTGCCATCCATTGATGGCAATCGAATGTGCAGGAAGGCAGCTTCCACACCTGCGTAGGATATCGCACCCATTCAACACACATGGGCCGGGACCAACGGCTTTACTTCCCTTCCGAAGGAAGACGTGACCAGAGATTTTTATGCCTCAGAAAAATCCCACCGACCTCGGCTGGGATTGAACCCAGACCCATCGGGGTGTTAGAAAGCAGTCACGCTTACCACTACACCACCGGCGCCGGCTTAATTAGAAACTACTGATAGACCTTATTTTATGATTCATAAATTTTATAACATTACTGACATTAAGAGCTAGTGTGATATTTTTAGAATATTCGCACTAGAGAACAGTATTTTTAGACTAAAATTAAATGGATAGGTCAAGTAGACTGCAAGCAATAAAATAAGTTGATTTTTAAACGGGTTACCCTATGGGCGAATTTGCCCCCCTTTCCCCTATATATTTATTCGTATAGATTCTACAGCAGAATTCTAGAAGTAGGTACAACCTTTTTACAACGCGTATGCTGCTATGGTTTCTTGGTTTTAATACAACTTTTAAACATAGTATGTACTCGTGAACACAATAATGCACTACAATCTCGTATACACAATATTTACCATTACAATGCTTTCTTTCGAATGAATTCACGATTACTTTCTTAAACTTTATTTTCAATTTCAACGATCCCACAGCTTCCAGATGAAGTGTTTCACAAACATGTTTTTTTTTTCTTTGACTTAACCCCCATAGCCGTGTTTTAACAGCTATGTTTCCATTTATTTTGCATCTTAAATGTTAACACATCGTTTTACTTATATAATCATATGTATTAGCCCTACTAACTAGCACAGGAGATAAGGTGCAGCAAAAGATTGATGGGCAGATTGGGCTCTATCCATATATATTCTCCACTGTGCCGTTGCGATTTAGGTTGAAAAATTATTTGAAAAAAAAAACACGAGAAAATAATCAAACTGGAATCACAATAAGTAGGTAGTTTCAAATAATTTAGAATTGTTTGAAAATTAGAGTAGATATTTGAATTTCGTAACAGTAGATTATCACTCATATTCTCGTTTTCGTTCGAACTGTAATTTTGTTGTTTTGTATGGGATGTACCTACGGTTCGAACGTAAACGAGAATAAGGGTGTATAGCACATTGATCAAGGAATTTAAACCTAGCAGTGATGTAACTAAACTTGCCTGTTCTTGCATGGTGTTCAAAAGTATGGTTTAAGTAATATTATTAATGTAGTTTGTGTATAATAGTGTATAGAGGTGCCAGCGGTGCATAAAATATGCAAATATTTGATTTCACGCTGCTCTTAGTTGCTGTTGCTTTCTTATAAAGAAAATCTCTATTTTCAAAAAGGTATTCGGCTACATCCCGGCTTAAAAAAGGCTCCGTTTAAGGTTTGGTTTTGTTTCCAAAGTGTCGTGGAAAAATGTTCCAAAATTTCGAACCAGCGTGGAACCAATGCCATTCGCGAAAAAAAAAATAACATATACGGTGGTTGTGGGATACTTTGCAAAGGGGCATCATGAGGGACCCTCACCCCTTTCAAGAAATGCGCATAGGTATCTGTGCTGCAGTCAAAGATCCTTAAGATATTGTTTTATTTTCGTTTTTAATGGAAATGTAGGTTTCCTTCCAGTGAAGAAGATGACATAAGACCTAGACAGTATGTTTTAGTTAAATCCTTAATGATGTGTAGAATTTGTCTTCATTAATGTATATTTATTCCCTAAATTATATAGATGCGACCATATGTCGCACTCATTTTGTCTTTCTGTTTGACCGTTCTTGAAATAGTGCATTTTTTCTGCTCAGTATATTTTACGGTTCATGGATGTTGTATAGACTATTTATTAATAGTAGTAAAAGGTTTCTTATACTTCTAGGTTTCTAAAAATTTCCATGGATTTTGTTTTTAGCGAATGCTACGGTATTTGTAGACGTATGAATTGAACTTAGTTTATAGTTGACAAAAACATATGGACCATGTTCGTTGGCATCGTATCTTACTTTTTTTCTACAATGCCATTCTCTTTTACGACGTTCGTTTTCCGTTGGGAAAACTGATGAAGCTAATGAGAATGTCTAAAGACCAAAAAATTTCTTGAATAGTTGCAGCCCTCTTAAAACCTTTTAAAGCGAAAATACCATTGGAAAAATCTTCCAAAATGAACAAAATTTGATAGTGTTTTTCAGAGTTTGAATAGTTTTCTATGAGAATTGTGGAGTGCTGAAATGTAGTTTCAAAACATACTAGCTGTTTATCAACTTTTTAGAAGAATCAGTTTTCCCAAGCTTTCAATTCCTCCCTGATCGCCATATTATCCATTCAAAAGACGTTTAAAAAAGACACCATTGATCTAGTTTTTTTTGCATTATGTTCTTGTCTAAAATTCTTTTACCACAATAATGTTAGACTACAAATTTTTCACTTCTGCCAAACTTGATGCTGCAAGTATTACAATATTATATTTAGTAGAAGTATAGTAAACCATATCATTTCAATCTTAATTGTAGTAAAAAAGATCACTTATATCAAATATATTGAGTTTGTTATTGTATAATTATAATGTGCCTCACTGAAAGAAAAAGTTCGCGAAATCTTGTTATAACTGTCATATCACCTCCACAATGTACGCATGCAGCTTGGATTCAAATATCGTGTATGTGTGTCGAGATGGTTGAAGATGTTGCTCAGTCCAGCTCAGACTCGGTCGTCGAGACTGAGAGCAAAGAAGACGGCTGCTGCAGCTGCTGCTGGGCTTGATCCTCCTCCTCCTCCAACACAACAGCTGCCACCGTGCTCTCCGTTAGTTAGCTGGAATGCCCATTCCCGTTAGCAATTTCTGCACAATTTTTCGCTAAAATTTTCTGTAGTTTAATACTGCTATCGTTTGCATTGTTTGTACCATTAGTTATCCCATTCGACTGATCATCCTCGTCGTCTTCATCATCGATTGCTAGCTTTTTCAGACCTAAGCTCTCAGATCCAGATAAAATCTGCGACACCTCCTTGTCATTCGAGGAAGCCTTTGCGTTGGACTTTTCCAAATTGTATAAATTTACTTCGGCCATTTGGATTGGCTTGAACGTATGCTCACTTCTATCGTTTTGTCCGCTCAGATTATCCGGCGAAGAGGACGTCGACGATGATCCAGCTCTTCCGTTGAGGCCGTTACGCAACGACGTCTGCAACAGGTTATCAATGTTCGGGTTACTCTGCTGCACAAAAGTGGTCCACTCATTAGAGGTTGCGTCCAGGTATTCGATGGTATTCAGGAAGGTTTTTCCCGAAAAGCCTCCGATTGCGTAGAGCCGATTCTGAACCACGGCAACCGAGACGTTCGATCGCGGTGAAGTCAGGTTAGGTCCCGCTACCCACCACTTGTTGACTTCATCGTAACACTCGGTACTGTTCAACGAATGGGAACCGTCACTACCACCGACGGCGTACAGCTTACCGTTGAACTCGGCCAAACCGCACCCACGTCTGGAAGGGAAAAGAATGTTTATCATGTATAGTAAGAACCGATTTTGATACTTTGCAATGGATTACATAGGGAGCGAAATATTGCTAGAACTGTCTCTGCATATTGACGATACATGAGCAAATCAGCTTCAGGCTTACCACATGATAGATACATGATCTAATAGTACGTACATACAGACTATGGCTTATATCATGTAAAAGGCTGTCTTACAATGAATACTCATACATAGGATATCCAGTGAAAACAAGATGTATGAGTGTCTTTTGCATGATATATGCCATAATCCCATTACATCCTATCCCATCCCATCCCATACATGATATATGTCATAATCCCAATCATGGTTTACCGTCCAAATTAAGTTTGTACGTGTTTGTACCGTTGTACTGAGTAGCCTGTGCAGTGCAGCGTGAGTAATTTTTTTTCTCGATAATAAGCTGTTGATCTGATAAAAATCTATAGTGAAAAACCCGCCAGGTTGCAATTACCCGAATATGAATCGTTATAACCGGATTTTCACCAAATGCTGGAACTACAACAGCAGATCAAGTACTTAGGCTGTGTTTCATTTGGTGAATATTCACTTAAATTTTACACTTCGAAAATCGCTCTGTTGTTGGTCGTCCGATTTTCAAGAAGGTGTTTTCAAAATTTATTCCTGGTCTGTCAGAAATAAGTCTGGTACAATAGCAGGTTTATTTGAAAATTTTCCATCTGTCGAATCTGTCGAAAATTCATCAAGTGGAACACAGCCAAGAACTCTGTCCAAGTTTGAATTTGTAGCAACTGCCTCGTTTGGCCCAATCGTAAAAAGATGGAAGTAGGCCGCGCTGCGAAAATAACACTTTTTTTTGCTGTGTCGTTTTAGTTCTTTTATAAATCCAGAACAACATGTGAAAAGGGCATACAAGCTTTTTGTAAACAAACCTTTGTAGGCCCTTTTCTCACCAACCGAGGGTCGCCCACGCAAACCAGCAATATCATCGGGAAGGGGAAAGTGTCCCCTACCCGGTGATGTTAAAGGTTTGCGTTGGTGTCATATGCAGGGTTACCAAATCAAAAACTTGAAAAGGAGGACAAATCAGTCCTTTTCTTAACATTAAATTAGGACAATGAGTTTTTATCAAACGTTTTAATAATATGTGCGCTATCACAAAATTCATGATTTGTTGAGATTTTTCATAACTTGTAGTCGTTACCAATTCAATTCATCTTCTCGTTATTCTTTTGAAAAATGCATAAAACTAGCTTCCATAATTCATTTTTGATAGGGAAAATGTCGGCTTTGGCATTACCTTAACCTATTATCGTCAGGGGGTAAAGAAAGTCCTAGAGGAATTGATTCCTGGTTTGTCTGAAATAAGTCTGGTAGAATTTCAGGCGAGATTTCAGGTTTATTTGAAAATTTTCCATCTGTCAAATATAAGTTAAAATTCACCAAATGAACCGCAGCCTAAATGTAATGAGGTTGACAGCAGTAGTATAATCCTAGTCCCACTATCGAATGGCATTTGCTAGATAAGATGAGGTTGCGACATAATTAAACAAATAAGCTCTGCAAACAACTCTCTTTGAAAACAATTTTATGAATATGTTGCTGGACAAAAATGCAAGGTTTAAAAAGGAGGACATTTTCGGGCAAAAGGGGGATGTAGAAAAAATATTGAAAAAGGAGGACATGTCCTCCTTTAGGATACCATATGGTAACCCTAGTCATATGGGTGCCTAGAAAAGGGCATAAGAAGGTTTGTTTACAAAAAGCTTGTATGCCCTTTTCACATGTTGTTCTGGAAATGTTAATAAGTTACAATTTCGGGTTTAAAAAGATTTAAATAAAAGTACTGATGTGGCGTTGAAAAGTTGAAAATTTACCAAATGGAACACACCCTAAATAAAGGCAATCATTTTAAAACATACTAAATACTAAATTGTCAATGGTGTATCAATAATAAATTGGAGTGGGGCATATCGTGTGTGAAAATAGCTTCGGAATGCTTCTTACTCCCAGGTTCAATCTTCTTGTATTCATAAGCGCTTATTGCATGCAGATTTTATCCATAATGCCACCCTCAGACAGTGGGAGTTAGATTGTAAAGACGCACACACGCATCCAGTGAAGGCATAATCATTAGCAAATTGATATTTTTCCGCTCTAATACGCTCTCAATATCAAGCGTGATATTGGAGCAAAATAGCATGCTTGATATCAGGGTTACTTCCACTCACTTGCTATAAAAAGTAGAAGGGTCTGTGCCTAGGGGCACGAACGGAAGCTTGACGTAGGACCGCTAGTGGACGGAATTAATGTGAAGAGCATTAAGTTCTTTTAATTGATCAATTATCGATTATCTCAACTCTTTCCGTTTTTGAATTGTAGGCGTACCAAATTTGTAGTAATCTTTTTCAAAGAGAAAGTTGATTAAGAGAATCAATCAAAACACTTGCACCCCTGCCTCCAAGTTTGGTTACAAGATTACAACTCTGGAGAGCATTTTGTGTGGTCGTTGGGGGCTTGTGGTTCTGCATATGGACAAACAAGCACAGATAAATTCTATTCCAACTCTTTACTGTTGTAAGCTTGATGGCCCTGAAAAGGGCCGTTTTATTGAAGAGTACATCCATGGCCACTTACGCTTGGCGTGTTTAGTGTAGGTGACAGCATCACGGACCTCATTTTCCAGAAACACCTTCAGCACACTTCGTAGATCAGACCGGAGATACGTTTGACACCACCACGGCGAGCCAGACGACCGATTGCGGTTATCTCGAAGAACTTTGCGATGACGCTTGGCGCCTCCTTTACTAGACTTTTTCCTCCTTTGCCACAACCAGTCAATTGTTGCTTGTTAGGTGTGAATGAGTGGACTAGCCACCACCTTCCTACTGCTGCTATTGCTGTTCTTCACGCCGTCCGAAGCGAAAATAAGCTAATGCCATTTTTTGCCATTTAAATGATCTTTATTTCTTGTGATTGTGTGGTTTACATGTATGAATTTGTTAAGTGACACAGATGCGTCTTTTCAACTTTGGTACATTTGAGATTTTAATTATTATTTACAGTTCCTAGTCCTATCAGGCCTATTTTAAAGTATGACCACCTTGGTGGGATTGGTTTGATTTGAATTGGAAAAAGGAGACTACTTATAACTACTATTTACAACTACAACTAACCTACAACTACTATATACACCTAACCTACTATATACAAATTGCTTATCAAAGCATGTTCTGATAAATTACATTTTTGTGTAAATTTAGTCTTAATTTCGTTAATTTTGGAATCTATTTTGGCAATGCCTGCCTCTTCATGTAAATTTGTTATTCTAGTGTCGAAAGGACGATCAAGAACCATCCTCAGCACTCTATTCTGAGCTACCTGAATTTTGTTCCTGTGAGTCTGTGCACATGATTCCCACACCGGAGCTGCGTAGAGGATCGCAGGTGCTACGATTTGTTTGTAGACGGCCAGTTTGTTCACCCTTGAGAGGCGGGATCTGCGGCAAATCAGTGGATACAGACTCCTAACCAAGGCGGAACACTTGACTACGGTTTTCTCCACATGCGAGCGGAATAGGAGCTTTTCGTCAAACAACATCCCGAGATAGGTTACTTCGGCGGACCACTCAACCCTTGAGCCATCCATGATTACAATACAAGAGGGAGTCGGTTTTAGTTTGGGTGATTGCCGATCGAGGAACATGATTGTTTGTGTTTTGGAAGCATTGCAGCGCTCTTTTATATCTTTTCAGGTTAAAGCAGAATGATGTGCAACCAAGTGGTATAAAAGCTACAAAGACTCCTCCCATTATGAGTAGTTTGCTATCAAGTAGCGACACTGGCTCTTTTGCTTTTGCGTACACGGCCAATGAGAACGACCCAAATTTGAGTTTAGTTCGCTCAAAATCGCCAAAAGTGCAGGAACTCAGTGATGAGTAAATTTGTCTCATGGTTTCCTGTGGAAAACATAAAAATCTGCCAGAAAATGAGGAAATTGACGAAAATTTTATTCAGTCTCGGAGTAGTACCAATAGATTGAGTGAATCCAATCTTTACTTTTCTTAAATTCTGGAATTTTCCCCTGGAAAATCCTGGAAAAACCTGGGAAAACATGAGGCTAATTAACTCATCGCTGAGTTCCTGCACTTTATTTCTTATTTCTGAGATAACTAAACTCAAATTTGGGTCGATCTCATTCGCCGTGAAATCACCTTGAAAGATATCGGCGCCGGTGGTTAGCGTGATTACCTCTCACCCCAGCAGACCTGAGTCCAATCTCAGTCGGTGCCACCGGCATGTTCTAAGGCATAACATCTCTGATCACGCCTTCCTTCGGGAAGTAAAGCCGTTGGTCCCCGGTTGAGTTGATGGGTCGATTGGTAGGGTCCAGGCGTGGGAGCTGCCTCCCTGGTGTTTCGGTAGCATTGGTGCTCAGCACGGAAAATAAATCTCGCGTCACTTTTCAATATGTCCTATCTACATTGATTGATTCTCTTCATCGACACTCACTTTCGTAAATAACTCGGCTTCACAAATGTTTCCTGCCGTCTTCGTCGAATTAGATGCTAGATTGTTGCTTCTTCCATTGAAAATATCCGGCCGTGGCGATTCAAAGTTGATCAAAATAATTTGTACCCCTGCTTCCAGTTTGATTACATGAGCATTTTGTGTGATCGTTGGTTCTGAATATGGACAAACAGGCAGATGAATTCTATTCCTACTCTTTACTGTAATAAGCTTGGTGGCCCTGAAAAGAGCCGTTTTGCTGCCGAAGTTGGTGATGATTTAACCTTCGAAACCAAACAGAGTGCGTCTCTGTCACTTCAAAACGTAGATGACATCCATGGCCGCTTACGCTTGGCGTGTTTAGTGAAGGTGACAGCATCACGGATCTCATTTTTCAGGAACACCTTCAGCACACCTCGTAAATCAGACCGGAGATACGTCAGACACCGCTACAGTGAGCCAGACGACGGATGGTGGTTATCTCGAAGAATTAACGTTTGGTTATGAATATGGCGATGAGTGTGCAAAATATTACGCAATTCCAAACTCCCTATTCGCACGCGCGCGAATGCCACTTCGACTTGTTTCGTCTACTTACTACTCTCTGACGACTGTGCTGGGGAAGCAGCATATGCATGTAGGTAATTGGTGGATTTGTTAGTTAATTCGACGCTTTTGGACAATGCTGGACATTTACCAGTTTTTCAATAGTTTCTTGTTGAAAATCAACATTCGGAAGCATTGTTATCGATGCGTTGCCATATTTCTGATCGATTGGTGATAAAATTATTGAAATTGGACCAGGGGCAGCTGAGTTAATAACGTTTAAAATCTTTCTAAATTTGTTACATGTTTCATTTTTGGTTTTCACAAAGTGTACCCCCATATAGAAATCAAAGACGTAGTCCTACGTCAAAACTTGTTTTTCGGAATTATGTAATCATGAAATATTATAATGCTAATTAGTATAATAAGTTGTAAGTTACAAGAAGAGGTAATGAAGAATATGTTCGACACATAAAATCTGTCAATATTGCTTTCAGTGCGTTACAATCAGCAAATTTTACGACTCGTGAGCGCTCACTCTGAGTGAACGCTCACGAATCATAAGATCGCTGATTGTGACGCGCTCAAAGCGAAATTGGCAAGTTTTATGAGTCAAACACATACTTTACACCCTCTTCCTGTTACTTACAAGTTCAACACTGCATTATAACATCTAATGATTGCATAATTCCGAAAAATATTTATTTATAGCAAGTGAGTGGAAGCAACCCTGCTTGATATTGACTTTACAAGCTCCATTGATATTGTGAGTATATGCACAACGTGTAAAGTTGAAGGTGAGAGTTGAATCGACACAAAAATAATTCCGATGCGCCTCGTTTTGATTAGTTTATCCACCGCAGGTGCTTGAAATCGTCATCCAATTCATGATTTTACAGTGATCCGACTGGTGCTTCCATATATTTTAATGGGAAAAATTAAAATTTATAAAAAATTCCCAGCGGTTATGATCTTCCGGAATTTTAATGTGTGGTTATTTCAGCTGTAAATTAGTTCAGATCTGTAGATAATCGAAAAATAAGACCACTCCCAATGGAAATTAGCAAGTTGTGCAATGAAATGTATACCTATTATTTTTAGTTTTGATCATTACGTCATTATGTCAATATGATGTAAACAAAAGGATTGCCTATCAACATCGGCTAGCATTGATAGTGCATGAAAAGAGCCTATTGAAAAATCTATCAAAATATCAAAAATCTTGCAGAATCGTACGCTTGTCCTTTTGTCTGAAACTGTTAAGTGCCAGAATAATCTTATAATATGACATACCTCATAACACAACATTTCTTCATAAACAGAATGTTTCGAACAGAACTTGAATAATTTTAATAATAATAGATTGCATGACCAACTTTTTCTCGTTTCCCCATACCGAGAGCAAAAAAAAAGTCATCCGATTTGACATCTACGATTTCGGATACCCGGATCACCCAGGTTAATGGCGTTTACAATGTTTAACTGATCATTTTCAACCTTAACTCAACATTTACCCTCAACGTATTCACTGACACATTTATTTCAAATGGCCATAGATCGTAAAGTCATTGTTAAAACGTTCATATTCTTCTTCTTCATAGCAACTTCATTTGTATCCTTTGTAGAAGGATAGTATGTTAGTATCGTGTTAAGGATGATTTTTGATTGCTACTATACCACATCGCTACAAGCGATATCAAGTAAACGTGTACATCTGTATAAATGGAGCCCCTATCATTTTTTTTCCTTCTGTTGACTCGTTGAATCCAGAACTCCCATCGCAACTCCATTTTAATAAGAGCCACAGTTTTGTTTGGCCTGCGTGTTCCAAATGTTACCCGAAAATACCCAAAAATCCATAAAAAATCATAAGGAGCTTCCCTTGTAATTACCTCCGGATTTCCCGTCGAAATGTATCAAACAAACAAAAAACGCTACTTAAACTCACCTTGGCGTCAACAGCGACGGTGCGTAGATCCACTGTTCACTGCCTAGATCGTATCGTTCTACCGATCCCAGGCAATTCCATGCATCGCTACCGCCCGCTACCCACAGCGATCCACGGTACGAAGCCACCCCGGCCTGGTAGCGGCCGGTATTTAGCGGTGCCATCGAGTACCACTTGTTCTCCTCCGGCTTCAGCAAGTCACACTGCCGTATACCGCTTTGACCGTTCCAACCGCCGACGCAGTAGATCTTTCCATCCAAAGCGCAAACACCGGCATTGCTCCGTGCTAGTGGCAATTTGCAAATCTTTTTCCACTTCTTGTCTCGCTTGGACAGGCATTCCACCGTATCCAGTTCAGTTGTTCCTGAAAGAGAAAACAGGTTTTAGAAATCAACCATATCCGAAGTTTCTACCATTATACCATTACAACCACCAACGGCGAACACCGTTCCTTCAATGACTGCAATCTGCACCCGTCCACGGGCTTCACCCATGTTAGATTCCTGAGTCCAGCTGTTCGTGTCTGGAGAGTAGGACTCAACGGAACGCAAACACTCCGCTCGATCGTAGCCCCCACAAACGAATAGTTTACCTTCCAGTTCTGCCACGCCCAAACCACATTTGGGTCCAGACATGGTAGCGACTTCGAGGAACAGCTCCGGTTTTACCGATTCATCCAAGTCCAAGTCATCCTTGCTAGCGCTGGAACTGATCGTGTCCGGTGTGTTGACCGGTGATGGCGTTGTTGAAACATTCAGACGCAGCTGAATCGAGAGGCGCGCAAGGTTCCCGTCCAAGGTAATCAACGAGATGAATGTATGATCGGCCAGCTTAGAGCTAGCGATGAGAGTCCATTCGCAATCTTTGCTCGTATCTTCGTTGCACTCACCAATGTCCCGATTGTAGAGGATAACACGGGGCCGTCCCGCTGTTTTCAATCCTTTGCGGTGCTTCTTATTGTTGGGACATTTCAGGACCAAGCGCTTGTAATCCTGAACCAGATCACTTTGCGACTCCTGGCCAGGAGGCAGATCGGAGCAATCTTGCAAGGAGTTATCCAACGCCAAGTACAGCATATGAGAACGCTCCATCAGGTTCGGGACCTGTTAGGGATTCAGTGGAGATTTCGGTTTGGTCTAAAGAAAGCAAGCATATCTTACCGTATTTCCCTCCTCACTCATTTGACGACGGATCCAATCGACCACTAACCGACACAGAGACGGTTCCGTGACCAAGGACATTTCCAGCTTCGTTTGATAAAGCACCTCAATGAGGATGCATGGAAGCTGCAGGAAGCTCGGTTGCAGTGAAATCTCCGTAAAGTTCTTCGCTATGTAGGCATCAACATCCTGCACAAAGGCCTTGTTACGGTTGATGCCCGGTAAGGAGCGAGTATCGATGCACGTTTCCGGTTCCAGATCGTTCACCATGTGACGCGCACATTCCTTGACTACGGTGTCAATCTTCAGCTGCCAGGCTGCCAGATACACATCGCGTATCTAGAAAATTGTTATCGGTAACTGTTCCAGTTCGGAACACATACACACAACAAGAGATACTGGCGCCGAGTGTCTAGGAAAAGAAACGCCCTCGGTTCTCTCACTATTGCTCAAAACTCACCATATCATTGGGTAACTCCAGCGAGCCGGTATAAGCGTACTCAACCAGATACTTTAACCCAGGAGTGGTGATGTGACCGTTCAGCCTGTAGCAGGGAATCTTCCCTTCGTTTGCGGCACCGTTCTGGTTGCCCTGGAAAGGAGAAATCGACAGAAAAGAGAAAAACGGCTCATGAACATTAGATGGACAGGGTTGGCACTTGGCGAACGAATTGTTCCGCTTGAGGGAGACGAACCGATAAGCCAGGATCTGAAATCCTAAGAGAGTAAAGCGCAGAATATTAATTCAGGGGGCCAGTTAGGGAACGATACTTACAACATCCGAGCTGAACAGTTCCATCAGAGTGGGCGAGACACAGGCCAGCACGTTGCGGTGGGCATGGATTTCCGTGCTGCCGACCTGGTGAAGAAACATGTATCATTGTTTAAGTGTTGAAAATCTGAGATTTGTGTATATTTTTAAAGCTTTAGTAAATCTCGGACGACTTATGGTAGGATAAAAGGGGAAAAGTAAGCTAATCGAACTGTCGAATATTCTTGGTCCTCTAAAGTTTTCCAAATCTCGGATGTTCATCTGTAAATCTAAACGTCAAACATCAGACTTAAAGTGGTCATTTTATACGATAGATGAGGAGATGAAGTATAGAGTTGATAGTTCCGTTAGACTACGGCAGTGTGAAAATTGTATATAGAGAGTAGAAAGCGAGCAAAGGTAAATTATGAGGAAGGCACGAATCGGGTTGATCATCTCCTTTACAAAACTGCCCTGTTTGGGAGGGATGGTGAGGGGTATCTCCTCCGCCACCACTGGAAAAATTGGCGATCATCTCTTATGACAGTGGTGGCGGGATAAAATACCCCTCACCATCCCTCCCCAACAGGGGAGTTTGGTAAAGGAGATGATCAACTGCGATTCTTGCCTTGCTCAAAATTGAGCTTTGTTTGCTTTCTGCTCTCTATTTACAATTTTCACCCTGCCGTACTCTAACGGAACTATCAATTCTATACTTTCATCTCCTCATCTATCGTATAAAAAATACCAATTTAAGTCTATTATTGGACGTTAAGCATCTCCAACTATGTAAATCGTTACCTTCACGCACGAAGTAATACAAATATGATTAGTTCAGGTTGAAATTATAGTTTTTTTTTCAAAAATTTCCATGACATTGTTGGCTGCCGAGACACCGTTGACAGTCGACGAATGACCCATTTGGAAAATCACTACGTCTCACAAATAACAATAATTAAATCCTAATGACAGCTGGCTTTCGCCGTTGCTATCTTGAAGTCGTTTTTAGCAACACACAGCGTGATACGGATGTGTTAGGGGCGATTCAAACATATCGTCAGGCCATTTTCTATAGAGATGGCTATGTTTTGCTGGTAGGAAGTAATTAAAATCCCCATATAGAAATTGAGAGACGTGAGAATTCATTGCTTACGATGCATATTCAGGTCAAACTAGTGGACGACAATCTAAAGAAATCAGTGAGGGACTTTGTCGTTATTTTTTCCTCGGATATCATTGTTAAACAAGTAAAAAGTAGTATTTTCCCATACATGTTTTAACCATTTTACTACCAGTCCCAAGAGAGTCAACAAATTTAAATCCAAGACCGAAAATTTTCTCTCACGAGCTTAATCTCTCAACATGCCATGTATATTGATGCCACACAATATGTGATTTCCCTTTCAAATCTTCCTAGTCTAGTACCTAGCCCTGAAGAAATGTAGGGACCCTTATTTATGCAATTAGATTTCTCATCCAGAGGCGGAGCTTTGCAAGTATTTTTGCCATAGAATATGTAAAAAAAGGAGGGACTTCGGATGTTAATCTAACTGCATATATAGAGGTACCATACACGTTTTGACCGCACTGCCCGCTGTTAACAATTGACGTAACTAACTGTAAGCATAGAGGTAAGTCTAAGACCAGAAGTTCCTGAAGAAACGTGCTCAACTTTTTGGCTCAGCTCTGGTACTATCTTCGGTCCCAAGCTTATCGATGCATCCCTCGAAACATAGGAAAATCCATGAACCCCTCATTTTACCTGTCAAACTTTCACATCGAATCAAACATAATGTAGTACTAGAGTTTCGACTAGAATGGGGTACGTTAATTGATTTTCGTGGGACCAATAGGCTAGTCAAGTAGTGAGCCAATTTTAAATCGTTAGTTTCCACCTGAAAGGAAAGTAGTGCAGAATTCTTAATTTAGCAAAAATTATATAGCAAAAAAAAATGCGAAATTTTAAGCTAGTTGGAAGATAGTTTCGAGAGAATTCCTATAAAAGTTATAAGAATTTTTAAGAAACATCGAATAGTTTGGGATGATATGGCTAGAAATTTTGAGTATACTCTGAGTAGTGCTCCAGGAGATTCTGAAGAAATTTCCAAAGATTTTCAAGAGAATTCCGAGAGATCCTCCTCAAGAACATTTTATGAAGCATTTCAAACAAATTATGAGGAACATTTATAGAAATCTTTCTTTAATTCTAAAAATTTGGGATAACACTTTTCTAAATTGTAAATAGCATGCCAAGAGATTTTCAGGAATATTCCAAGCGAATTGTAAAGAATATATTCTTCATAAAATTACGGCCTCGATGGAGAAAATGTTTAGGGAATACTGGCCAGAATCATAAGATTATTGAGGTGAATCCAGATAAACCATGCCCCACTTAGTAAAGGAACAAACTCTTTTGCCTATTACAGCGCTCCTAGTGGACGTTTACGGAAGCATTTGTCGTCTATTTGTTGACAACAACAATAACAATAAGTGTATTTTTTTCAGTTCATAAAACGCTCTTGTTTTGGAGACAGTCACCATGCAAGAGGAGCGTAGAAAAAAACTCGTGCTCAGTCACCTGGAAAATCCATCGTGGTCCGCGTTCAAGCTGGCTAAAGTATTGAATTTTCCTAGAAACACCGTATGGCGCGTGCTCAAAACGTACAGTGAAACTTTGACGACGAATCGGAAGTCTCAAAGTAAACGGAGTGGGGTGGAACCGCCAACCGTCAGCTCGATGGAAAGGTCGTGATGTCCATCAGAAGCAACCTAGGTATATCCGATCCGGTATATATTGAGTAAAAACTAAGACGCTGCCCATAGTACAGTGCAGCGAAGACTTACAGGCTACCGCGCCCGTAGGCAAACAAATCGATCACTCACGGCAACCACTCGATCGATACATACTTATGGATGATGAAACCTATGTAAAGGCCGACTTCAGACAGCTTCCAGGATCAAAATGTTACAAGGCGAAGGCTCGAGGTGGTGTCCTTTGCAGATTCGAATTTGTTTTTGCGCCTAAATCCTCACGCAAATATATGATCAGGCAGGGAATTAGCAGCTGCGGCCAGAAGACAAAGGTTTTCGTCACTGAGAAAATGATGAACTCGGAGGTTTACAAAAATGAATGTCTTCAGAAGCGAATTCTATCCTTCATCCAGTCACATGATGGTCCGGTGACATTTTGGCCGGATCATGCGAGTTGACACTACAGCGGAGAAGTACAACAATGGTTCAATGACAACGGAGCCCAGTTTGTTCCGAAAACCCTCAATCCACCCAATTTTCCCCAGTTCAGACCCATTGAAAACTTCTGGGCAATTATGAAGAGGAAATTGGAGATAAAATGTACAGTCATCAAAACGGCAGCTCAGATGCAAAATTGGTGGGATCAAATCGTCAAAACAGTGGACGAGACCATTGTGCGCCGCTTGATGGGTCGTATTGAGGGAAAAGTTCGAGAATTCCTTCGAAACCGCGACGAATAATTTTCATCGCGTTTCGTATTTTTTTTTTCATAAAAATAAAGAATTAGTATGCACTTGAGCGAAACCCGTTTTCATATCCTTCAATTCAAATACAAAATAGATCCAAATGATGTTGATCTATTACTAAGTGGATCATACTTTAGTTAACGTAATTCTCAAGACATTTTGAAATAATCCTAAGTAAATTCTTGAGAAATGTGCAAAAATATCCAGTTTCAAAAAAAATTATTTGAATAAATTTAAGATTCCATACACAGAAATTTAAGATCCAGGTTTGTGAAGATTCTGAGACTTGGGGCTAGATTCAAAATTATAAAGGGTCACCCACATTCGATTCGGATCTGACCAGGAGGCTGGCAACCCCATATCAATACTATACGTTTGACAGTACGCAACATCACGGGCCTTATTTAAATTGGCGTTGACGGCACCATCGAAAAATTGTCTCTTCTAGAAAAGTTGACAGTTTCTTATGGGATTTTTCGGTGGAGTGAAAGGATAGTACAAAGTCCGCCATGTTTCACGCACAGTCTGACGTTTGCTTACGGATTTTACCATAGGAGTAAAGAGCTACAGCGTCGCCGTCAACGCCAATACGGTCTGCCTGACGTATATATGGTAGCATGGGACGGAAAATCGTGTTATAAGCAAGAGCAGATGATAGCATCAAAAACATGGCCCCTGGACCTAACGCGTTGCTGCAAAGTGAAAACCAAATCTATTGTATAACTGTCATGTTTATATCAACGCAACGCAAACGGGTCTAATGTGGGTAATCCATAAAAGAATTATTCGAAACATCGGACTTTGAATATTTATTAACAACAATTATTTGAGAAAGTTCCAATCAAATTCTCTGTTATTCCCCTTTTTTAAGTAGGATTACGTCTTTCGCCAACATATTGGGGGTGTAATTAAAAAAATAAAATAAAATTGATCGCGTTACGAAAAGTGGTCAGGTTTTGTCCGCTCTGTCAATAGCGGATGGATATTAATTCTAAACAAGCCAATTGATTGGAATGTCATCTGCGAATCTGCTAAAATGAACACTTTATCAATTTTCAAAAGGTCATTATTAAAAATTGCACGAATGGAACTACATATTGATATAATAATGAAAATTATCACCGATTGACTGCGAAAAGCGCTTTCCCTAACGCAGATTTAAAAATCCAATTCACTCCGGTCTCACCGAACGGTGTTTATTCAATCACCGCTTGTGGTGACAGGTGGTGTCCATGCTTGGCATACACAGTTTTGGTCACGAACTGCTCATTTGCTAATAACTTTGCACACAGTTGACGGAACATAGTTCTTTTTGAAGCAGTAGACAGAATAGAGTGTAAGCTTGTTATAGATATGTAAAAAAAAGTAGATTTTAATGCTAGTAGTAATACTCACTACATATCTCGGAATTTAAGTGTTAAATTGATTAGTGTTGATTCAAATGTTAAGCTTTACCTAATTTTCGCATATCTATAGTAAACTATGAGCCTAATCTATCAATTACTTTAAAGAAAAATAAATTTCAACATCTGAGTGAAAAGTTATTACTTAATGAGCAGTTGGTGTGTACAACTGTGCATGCCAAGCATGGTGGTGTCTAGTGGTCATTATCAGTGCTTTCGGTTCGGCACGTGGCGTTGTAGATTGTTCTCCAGTACACGACGAAAGGCTGCCCGCAAGCAGCGAGCTGCAGCCCACATGAGCATCCATCCATTGACCGAAGAAGGAGGAAGAAGCCACACCCCTACTGATCGGATTTCAGTTGCTCGTTGTGAGCCGCTGTGGACCATCTATGCCAAGCGCGTCACCCACGTTCCAAACAACATACAGCTCGCCAGCCTCATCACGACAAAACGGTCCTTTTCAGGACCATCATAAATTTGTTAAAGAATATTTGTTGGACATTTATCAAGATTATCAATCGGATGTCAGTTCCCATGTGTTTAAATCTAACATACCATGTATTTTAAGACAAAATTCAATCAATCGCCAATCGATAGGATGTGGTGTATGGTAATAGTTCACAAAATGACTAGTGTTCCTTCAATAATTTGACAGAATCTCAATCATCTGTATGCAACGGATGAACACCGTTTCCACCTTCTCCAAGAACATCATTTGAGGACTACTATGCCATCGCCCTTCACCAAACTGTTCACCAATGGATCCAGGTACAAGGCATGAGCACCGCTATCATCTCCAAGAACTCGATGAAAGAATTCCACAGCATTGTTCTAAGCTGGATTCCAAGCTTTCAACCCATCGGCCCTTTTTAGGACCACAAATGACTGATAAAAGAGTTAACTAAAGACTTCAAGTAAGTAGCTTGTATGCAAGACACATCGTCCAGGATTGGCTACATGGACACCGACAGAGCACCGGAAAAACAGAACTCTCAAACTGCTTCCGAATTTCAACCTATCGAACTTTTTCACTGATAAAGATAAATCAATTTAATATTTACTATACTTTTGCTGTGACATCAAAACTACCTTTCGTAATCCTACGTCAAATCTACGGTCGTTTCTTGGATACAACCTCTTATTTTTTTTTCTTTTTCGATTGCCGGTTCTCTTGGTTTTCTCGGTTCAGTGGCAACCCTGTGATTAGTCTATGACAATTGCGACATCACAGGCAATGAAGAAAAAAAATATTTATAATCTGAACAAATTTTGCAGATAACGGACTTGCATGTCTCGATCACGAAGATAAAAAAAAAATCAACATAGGGTAAGGTAGGGCAAATGGGTCACGGGGGAAGAAGTGTCATTTACTTGATATATCTTTATTATTGCTTGTCAAAATTAACAGTCTTAATGTAGCCCCAATGCTGGTTTGAAAAAGCAAACTATCATTGGGGTTGCATTGAACCTGTTGATATTGACAAAATTATTAAATGTACTAGCTGACTCGTCTTCCCCCACCTTACCCTATTAGTGACTCCATCAACACAAATTAGGCAGTTAAGGGCCACCGGACCTTGAGTGACCCTTCAAAGTTCCCGTCTGTTCGCAACTTTTCTTATCAGACTTTACACGCTGATTTTTAATAAATCTTTCACACAAATTTGTTACCACATCAAGCCATGATTTTATGTGATTTTTAAAGGTAAATTCTTTACTCTCAACATAGATCGTAAAAAGTGACGGTAGTGACTAAATTTTAAGAAATAATGACTATTTATTGAAAAAAGTGATTTTTTAGTGACTGACCTAGCCACTAAAAGTGACCTGCTACCAGCCCTGCATGCATGAATGTTTATATTCACCAGTAAAATTCAGAAATGGGAATGAGTCTTGTCACTATCTACAAGGGTTAAAATGTAACTAGTATTAAGCATGTGTTCCTTTGATGACTAGAATTCGTCCATCATCCTAATTTGAATAAATTAGAATTAGCGTGTTATGGTAGATCTCCTATTGTAACACATCACATCACACGTGATCTACCCGGATTAAGAGACTAATTCGCCTAATATATTCATAAATCGGAGTATGCAACAATTGTGACTCAAAGTGTTACCTCGCGAGAGAAATCTACGAACCTTCGCAACGGTTTCACCACCTCATGAAAAAGCATACATCCATCACCATTTTCATCATCATCGCCGTCATCGCATGTTCACACACGCGACACCAAAACTAGTTTGAAATCGGCAATTTAACTTCTCTTTTCTGCAGCAAACCGGCCGGTTCACGTTATAACAAAAAAAAATCGAGAAGGTGAACGACCCAGGCACACTCACGAACAGCCCAAACATCTCAGACACTGCACCCATTTGTGCATATGATTATAGGCCAACGGCCAACGGCCTAACGCGTTTCGACGAGCGATGGTGGTGTGCTGAGCCAAAAACGAACCAGATAAAAAAGAAAGTTTATTTTTTGATTCTTCACAAATTTCAGCAAACTATCGTATAGCCTGTTCCTAAATAGGATCTTATGTACAATCGTTGCAGAGGGAACTTACCAAAAGTATTACATCACAAAACAACCGGTGGCGACGCATGGTGCTTAAGCTCTGCAGGAAGTTGGACTTCATGCTTTCGTCGGTGAACCGGAGGTAACCGCAGCTCTCCATGGCATCGTCTGTGAAAAGAAACAGAAAGCAGATACAGCCGGATTAGAACCATGATCGTAGAACGTTTTCACTGCATGAAGCTAAAAATACATAATTACATGAATACAGCCGAGAGATAGTTATAGTTAGCCCGATTGCTCGGTGGTATTTTGCTACTTAGATCTGAGATCAATGCGGAAATTGTCAGAACAACAAACCGTAAGGCACGCACGAAATCGTTGAGCAGTTGCACCGGGAACTTTCTAAAACTGGTTTAGCTCACTCAGAATAAATGGAGCACAAGGAAACAGGTTGTTTTCCAATGGGGTGGAGAGATTTTTGGCGGCTAACCTTGAGAAGTTCGGTGTAGAAAATTCAACGTTTCATTGATTGGTCGAATAGCGGAAGCCAACCCTTGTAAAAGGAGAAACGTTATTTTTCACAGCAACAACGGTTTTCAATTTCCAATGCAAAGCGCAAGAGACGCGCAATAGCCCGCGTTTTCAGATATTGAAAATTCAACTGTTTGATCGATAATGTTGTTATTAGATTGGCTGCCACGAGCGTGACAGTGAGCGGTCCCACTAATTTTGCAGAAGCATGCAGATTTGATTGCTCGGGCAGGTTCCGACGTATGATTCTGCTGTTGACGTCATTGTTTCAATATAGATATCAATTGTTGACGTTCCTCAACTTAGCATATCATTTGGGAAATGGTTCGGTTCACGGTTCGCTTTAAATAACCTTATATCAGCCATATACGACCAAAAGACGAATTGGTTGAACTTGTTGATTACTTGGGTTAGTTTTACTCTAATTGAAGGGATAAGTTTTCAATTTTGATTCTAATTCAAATGAAAATTTCACATAAATTTTCATATTATTCTATATGGAAAATATTGAGCATTTCCAGGCCAAACAGCAAAAAAAGATAAAATCAGACTCGACCTACTCCGAATTGCATGAAACTTTGCGTAACTGTTTCTTATGTTCTTATTTTTCCTTAAAAGGAATTATTTTTTCTACTACATTGCCTTAGACGTCATTCCGATTGGAAGTGACATTTTCGAGCTGGGGGCGACCCCAGCGTAGTGGTTAACATCCATACCTCTCACGTCAAAGTCACGAGTACAAATCTCACCCCCGGACAAGTCACGATGACCCAAGAGTGTTAAAGAGACTAAGAAAAAAAAATTAAGCTATCTAATACGTTATTTTCAATTATTTTTGCAAGATTCATGGCGAATTTTAACAAAAATGTTGATGACTGCTCTTAACAAACAATTGTGCACAATTTCATGCAAATCGGTTAATATTGCGTCTGACCGATTCGTCATTTGGCGTGGAACTGCACTATTTTCCACAATTATGATAAAGATACTCCTATTTACGCAAATAAATAACAAGCACCCCGAAGCAAAAATACCGTTCCAGAAAAGTCGCTAATTCGCCGTTTGGTTATACTTGTTCGTTATAGCAAAAAGGCGAAATAGTCAGGCGTTACAGGCAAGGCAGGCTTAATCGTAAGGTATTGGGTACAAGCACAACAACCTCAAAGATCAGACTCTTATTGATCTATTTCGATGATGTAGTGCCGATATTTCGAGGACTTCTAGAGGGTCAAGTCAAACGAAACTGGGGGAGTTTGATAGATCTCAATTGTCGTTCTGAGAGCTTAAAGGACAGTTCGGTAGTCTAGTATGTAGGTAAATTTCCAATACAGGTTCTGCGGGCTAGTGGCCTTAAAGCAACTCTAATAAGCTTCAAGACAACATGCACTTCCATAATAAAAATAACCATAAAAGAGTGCTTAACGACGTGTTCGGGGTATCATCCAAACCATTTGTTGGAAAATTTACCCATCCGGGATAGAGTTCGTTTATGGTATTTGTGTATTAGGGTTGGCTTGAGAATAAATCCAAATATGATGGGTAAATCTAGACCACCAGAATTGGAAAACAAAAGATTTCAATGGCAGAGTCTTGAAGACCTCGGATTGTTGACTTCCCTGGAATTCCCAGGGAGAGGGATATATTTTACTTCAGAATCTAGAAAAGTATTTAATTGAATGGATCACATCATTCGAACAGTTTAAAATGACGTTTCCTATAGGTATACCGCTCGAACTTTGCGGTTGAACAATATTAGAAGGTCGTTGCAAAACTACTCGACAACATGATTAATTCATGACAGTTATTTATCAGAATGCTTATTTTTTGACTTCTTCTTCTGAGACTCAACATTTCAAATCCTACGTTGATGTATAATCCAAACTTCCTACCCTTGCTTCTATGCTTAGCTCCTGAGCCACATTGGTTCGGTGATAAATTCCGGAAAACATCACATAGTGTCGCCACAAGCCGCTAATCAACCGCAGTTAAGCACATTAGCCGCAAGATTCGCCAGTTTGTAGAGGAAGACGAGGTAAGACCGCCATCGCACTCATCATCTGCCGTTATTCACGCTTAACCCGCGTGCTTAGTCGCACTTTGTGCTCGTGTTTGAAAGATAAACAGAAAAGTGCCGACATTTTTTGGAAGTAGACGATTGCTTGCTCACATACACATATGTATCTACCGACCTACATGTGATCAAAAGGCAGTACTGCAACAGTTGATAATGGTGTAGGTGAGGTTTGATAAACTGTTTGACAAAGATAGAGTCTCTCGCGTAACATTTGAAAAGGGCCTATCCTCGTTGATCGATTCTCTTCATCGACTTTCTCTTTGGTTTACCACGGCAACATAAACGAATTTCTCGCTAAACTCGCAGCACAGTTCGACAGAAGATGATGTTAGCTAGCGCCTGAATCAACCAGAATCAACACACTAAATGGGAAATTCATTTGCAGTCGGATTATTCGCAAAAGAGAATCGATAGGCCCTTTTCTTGTGTTGCGCGAGAGATAGCGATTTCGACATCACCACATCACCGACAAGAATGAGTCTCTTTGTGTTTACAAACAATGATTGGTCAGTGAGTCGAACATATCACTGCCATGGTAGTCGTGAGTCAGACAAATAGCTGACAAGATTTAATTCGAAGGATGGACGGTAGTCTTATCAGAGTGAGATAAGTAAATCATTTTCGGATAACATGCGGGAGATACTAAAAATTAGCTTTGTTACTTGGGTCAGATTTCCGAAAATGATGCAAGAAATAGATGACAAATTTTCATAGCAGGATAACCTGCAGTTTTCTGATAATTCAGGTGGAATATAATTTGACTATCCAAACAATTACTGCGTAAAAAGTCAGAATCAAATCAGATAAAAGGCAGTATTATTGTTGCGTGATAATTTTACTGCCGCATTTCAACAATCCGTTATCACACCTTTATTGACAATTTGTGCAAAGACAAGAGAATGCCAAATAATCAATTAAAACGGACATAGGCGATTGACGTACTACGAACCGGTTTTCTCCAACAAGCTCAACCTGCCAAGTAATGAAACAATTTAACAATTTTCATCAGAAAGTCACACCCTTCCTTTAGGGAATTTTGTAAACGAACTTAAGGTGAAAGTTCTTTTTTTTTTGCCTTGCCATTTTCATTTTTTGATGGCACGAATCTCAGAAACTATAAAGATTTCGTGCAGGAAATTGTAATCACATGTGTGCTGCAGGGCAGCAAAAGAGTGATTATAGTTTCGCACACTAAATCTTAACCGCTTCTAAGATTCGTGCCGTCGGAAATTCAAAGTGGTTGGGCGAAATAACCAAAATAGCGGCCATTTGTGGATTCCATCAACAATCACCTAAGAGTCTTCAAACCCTAATGATTCGAACACTTAAATTTTCGAGTACCATCATGATCAAACACGTGATTCAATATTAAACGATGACAATCAACCGAGTGAGCGGTAATCATAGTATGGTACTATAAATCCATCATCATCATCATCGACAAGTGCACAAGTGAAACCAATAAAATAGACACCCGCTCCAGCACGCTACTCTGGGAATTGCATGACGCAGCAGGCTACGCGCGGGACTCGGAGCACGTGTATCTACGACAACAACGGCAATTATCCAAACGGGTTGCTGTTCAGTTGTTACCATTTGACATGCATCTGATACACTCATTGTTGTAGTGTGGTTGGTGTAATTTTTGTATTTGTTAGTGTAGTTAAATCCACCTCCATGCACATTGAAGGTCATTTCCCCGTTGGAAAACGATTGCTGAGCATTGAACACATTCAGCGGAGCGAAGAAATGTATGGTCAAATTTAAGTTCGACCGCCCAAAATCAACGGCGCGAATCGACCCACGATGGAATTTTGCAAACATTTTACGACACCACCGCAACCCGTCAGGAGACGGACATAAACATAAGGGAAAAAAATGCTTGATAGAACAGATGGTAGGCTAATTAAAAATCAGATATGTAGAAATGGAAATGATGAAGTAAATTAAAATTTCTCCCGTACATTAATTTGCTTGTTTACCTAAAAGTCATATTGGACATCGGGGTGAACAGAAAATTATGGACACCAAGGTTCATGACACTCTGATGAAGACAAATTGGACAATCGTGATCCTACCGTGAGTCGTTATCAAAGTCGATATGGTTTCTGCCTATCTTACACAATACACAAATGTAAAATGGCATAAACTTAGAAAGAACTTCAACTATGAAAGCGCTCAAGAAACACTGCAAAGGTAAAAAATATGAATTCTAGAGAAACATGCGAAAAGGGCATATGTGCCAAATGTTCAACAATGCCTTTAAACGTCGATTTCTCGCGAGTTAAGACTCATTCAGGTAACCGTAACAACAGCATCTGGTTGAAGAAGATTGCTTTATCAGATGGTATAGTTAGTATGCGTGGGTGTGTTGTGATTTGCGATTAATCGACGTTTGAAGTCATTGTTTACATCTGGCTCATTTAAACATGGTTGTTTTTTTAGAAGAACAAATACATAGTTCAAAAAAGAATATTCGTAAACATTGTTCTTTTGTTAAACACAATTCAATGCACGGGCAGTAAGGTGGGTCAACTTAACAAGCCTCTGCTCTTCACTACTT